TCACGCAATTATGTAAAGGATAGGACGAGGAAAAATGCTTTTCCATTGGAAAAAAGCCTCTCCCGCGCGCCTCCTTTTCTTTGATTCCACTTGCCTCTTGGGATATTTCAACGCGCTATTCAAAGCCTTTCCTACACTGACTTTACAATTTGACTCCTAATGCGCAAAATGAATCCGGTCAAGGGAGTAGACCTTGTTTGAAATTTCAGACATTGTCGTTCTTAATTATAAAAGCAATGAAAAGCAAGAGATTCGGTTAAATGTTCAACCCATTCCACTCCAAATTATAATATAGTGGTTCATGCGTGATCCTTGTTTTGCCAATTTTCAATCTGCTCATTCCTCGGAGGGATTATTAGTCACCAGGCCTCACCTCACTTGTAGGGAATGAAATCAGGTGTTTAATCTGTATAAGATAGCTTTCCTACCTTAAATGGCCGCTTGAGAAGCTGTCTGTAAGGAAATGACAGGCAAACGCGTCGATAGAATAGGCTTCTTCCAGGACCTTTATCTTTTGGTCAAGGTATCCGGCTCTGGCTGCTTCTCTTGCCTTTTCCAGAGCTAATTCATGTCCGGCTAAATAAGCATCCTTCGCGTACGGTAGAAAATGGTCGTGATTGTTTAGAGCCAGCTTCATGATGCGGCCGAATATGAGCGGAACTCCAAACGCCCAATAACCACCAGTCGCCTTGTCCCATTTCTCCACTAGTGTGTGTCCGAGTTCTTCGTAGACCTAGCTAGGGATGGCTACTTTTCTTTCTTTGCTCTCTAGTGCAGCTTCAACCTCACTCCTTTCTTTAGTCATGATTTTCAATATCTGATCAAGTTCCTTTTTAATATGCTTGTAATCACCATTCGCCAACGTAGAATATGCTGCAGTAAAGCGGTCACGACGGCCGGCCGGGATCTTTGCAGGATCTTCACTTGGATCAATGATGGGATGTTCGGGTACGCCATAGAAATCGCCCGCTAGGGCAATAATTTGGCCAAAACAGAGCTGCAACCCGTTGGGTAGCCTGAGTGGTCTATCGGCGCCCAAAACCTCCTGTCCTCCTCTTCCAGAGCCTGGAAATTGAAGCTTGACCTGGTTTCCTATGTTTTCATGTTCTGCTGCTTCGAATTCCTCTCCTCCAGGTTCACTGCTTGCAAGCGAACCAGGTGTTCGTTTGATAATGTTTATCAGCTGGCCAAACATGCTTTCTCCCTCCAATACTTCGTTTGATTCCATTCTTTTCTGAATTTTGAGGGCTGCTGATACGAAACAACGGTTTGCTCCAAATTTACGCGAGGCTCACTCTTGAGTATTTTCTCAATGCGGAAAATGCAGCGTAGTGGCTACATGAACTCACCCGATCGAGCTAATTGATCCAGATAAGCTGGTTTTCAACTTCCTGCAGCTGGGTGCGGTCGGCTAACTGTCGTTCCAAACATAACACAGCTTTCAGTGTTTATGATGCATATTGTTTCACAAAGTATCAAATTTATTGGCAAGCAACAAAAGCCACTCTTTACCGATCTTGTAAATAACTCTTTAAGATGGCCTTAAGATTGCTTAAATAACTTTGATCTACATGACACGGTCGAGGCACAGCTCGCACAAGTTGTAAGCAATTGATCAAGTGTGACTGTGTTAACCTTCACAGGTTCTTCAGCGAAGGATATTTTTCGACCAAAACTTTTGCCATTTTACAAGTAATGTGTGTAACTGCGTAGTTAACAACCACTTGATGTGGTTATGGGGACAATAAAATGAACTTTCTTAGGTACAGAGTGAAACAAATTCCTTACCAGTAGTGCGCTTCATCAATTGCGGGCTACGTCAGTGTCAGCAGGACAAGTGGTTCTAACAAAGAGATCAGTTCCGCATCCAAACCTTTGTACGTAATTAACGCTGCTAGTGTTACGAGTCTTTAGTGGACTTTGTTTACTTTGTGCGCGGCGGTGAAATGGCCTCAAATAAAATAGTAAGTTTTGACACTGAGGGAGAATTTGAGGAAATAAACGAAGAGATATCAGGATTAAAGAGTGGGGAAGGCGAGGAGGCTGGCAGAGGTTTAATAAGGAATAATACAGCTTGGAAATCATGTGATAAGAAGAAGTACCACCAACGCTATATTCCACTGAAGCATGCCCTGGGCTTCAGAGAACTATCAACGAAAGACAAAGAATCTTTTGCCAGTGAGAAAGGACTTACTGAAGAGGATAAAGTTTTTCTTAGTTCAGAGGAGGCAGTAAAACTTCTACAAAACCTTTCAGATGCCGTTGTGTGCATCACTGTCGGCAAGCCGACCTCACTGAAGTCGGCTTACGGCACTGGATTCCTTGTCCGCGTAAACAACGAAAATGCTGTAATTACTAACCCCCACAGCATTCGAGAATCTGAGAGTGGCGACGGAATTGACTTTCGGCTAGTCGAAGAAAGCGATGTTAGGGTACATTTTTTTCACGACGGGAAGCGGTCTGCACAAATATCTCGAGATGTAACAAGGATCGAAAGTGCCTCACCACCGGACAAGAATAAAGACAAAAATGTTTTGCTGAAATCCATGAAAAGACAATTACGCGGAGACGAAGTCAAAGACACATCTGACATCAATAAATGTGATATTGCCTTGGGATTGCTCTCTTCATATTTCAACCGTAGAGACGCCTTCTTAGATTATGCGTTGTTGTATATGAAGCCACTGGAAAAAGACGAACAAACTAAGTTTGAAAACGTAAGGCCATTGGAAATGAAGGAATTTTCCATTTTGGAAAACTTTCGGAATGTCTCTTCTTTCGGATTTCCTGATCCGGGGAGCTCGAAGTATCCGCGTTCCCTTCGACTTTTCACCATCTCACATCCGCATCAAGCAAGCAAACAAGTGTCATTTAGAGGAATGGAGTCAAATCTCACCCATGTATATTTTCTAAACATGGCCTACGGTCAAAATGACACAGGAATGTTGGGAGGTAAAGAGCCCTTTGCTGAACACTCCATTACCACTTGCAAAGGTTCTTCTGGTGCCCCAATCTTCTTATATATCTTTAATCATGACACTGGAGAAGTGATCTTAGATGAGGGAGTTTACTTTCTTCACTTTTATGGACAGGAAGTGGATGGAGACCTTCGCGGTAAAGCTGTGTTATTTTCTACTATTATCCCGAATCTTGATCGTCAAGCTACTCACAAGGAACTGGCCAAAGCTTTAGCTCAGGTCGGGGTAAACACTAATGACTCTTCATAAGTATGTTTGCAAGGCTCATATAAAAGCAGAGGTCATGTTTACACAAGGACTAAATGTTTTGAACATTACTGTGTAATATTCTTGAGGTCTCTCGTTTTACTCGTGATGGATGAGGTAAAAATAATTTGTATATTTTTGGGTTGATCTACACAAGTTACATATATTAACCCGAATCAAATCAGTATAGAGAGTTTAGTAGCATTTGTCGACCGCATGCTTGTTTCTATGTAAACAGTGGCATTGAACCCCATTTGGCTAATGTTGATGAATTCTTCAGCATTCTCCTACGCTAATTGTCTAAGCGTTGTACCTGATCTACCATTCTCCCGTTCAAGCCCTGATGTTTTCGACCAGGCTTTATCATCGCAGCTGCTCAAGTGCGTCTACTTTAAATGAAATTAAAAAACAAACATGGAGAAGATTCTGTTAGCCATAAAATGTAAATAGCCTCGGACAGTTAGAAATACAAATTAAACAACTTTATGCCTTTTATTGCCGGAAAGTTAATAACCGCAGAGGGTGAAAAGCAACGACTTCGCCGGTCATTTTGTTTTTTAGTTTCCGTTAACTTTACTTCAATATCTTTAACGCCACTTTAAAACAGAGCTACCAACCTCGAAGGCAGAACCAGTGACAACACTAAAAAAATTGAATGAAAGCAATGACGTCTTCGAGTGCAATTTTTGACAAAAACCCGATTTCCCTCAAATCCCCCGTAGTATTTACAAAAAAAAAAATACTGGGCTCAATTCGTCAACGTTACATGTAATCAAAATATTAACTGTTTATGTTCGATTGTGTGGGTCGCAAGTCTTTGTTTTACCAAAGCGGAACTTAACAAATCGACGGTGATTTGGCGTGGTCTGTACTCTTATCGACAACGATATTCGTCATCACACCGGTCAAAATGCTATGTAATTAGGAGGCGCAGGCGAGTGGGTCTGGAACAAATTACGACAACCTTGATGACGAATGTCGTTGTCGATAACATTTCAGACCACGCTAAATCATTGTCGATTTGCTTTTTACTACAATATGGACGTAAAATAAAACGATTATATCAGGGCGTGACACGTTTCGTGACACATTGACCCGAGCAGCGGTAGCCTAGTCTGTACTCTTATCGACAACGGACAATTTGCCAATCAGCTTGCAACATTACTGCCAAAGGAGTCGGAATAAAAAAATGTACACTCAATATTTCCACGTCTCAAAGTGGCGCTTAATTCGGATCAGTTCACTCGGACCATTGATTCGGGTCGGATCAACTCGGATTGATTCGGATCGAGTCCGGTTCAACTCGGATCGACTCGGATCAACTTTGATGAACTGAAATGTCGATATGAATAAAGTAAAATGAGTTCGTTACCTATTGGCAGGTCAAAATTGACTAAATTTAACTTTGTGCCTCCTTGCGATGTATAGCCAGTTTGTAGAGCTACCATTTAGTGTTTTTAGTGCCAGGTCCTCTTTAAATCGTACCCGGGTGGAGGTTTAACTTGGCATTTTCAGTTTAGACTTTCCTGGGTTAGGTTATAGTATTTTCATTAGCTGGTTTTTCCCTTTCTGAAATGTAGAAAGACCTAGCAATCTCTTCTCTTTTTTTTCTTTCTTTTTTTTTTTTTCAAAGAGAAAGAAGAAGGTGGAGTAAAAAATGCAAAACACGAATTCCGAAAAAAAAAAAAACACCAGCAATATACCCAGAAAAGCGAAGAGAAAGGGCGCTGGAATAAATGTTGTACTTTAGAGTCTGTATCAGATAAGTTGCTCACATTCTTTGAAATATTTTTACTGACTTGCCTTTTGAACTTATTTCCGACAACATTACCAACTTTTTTTTTTTTTTTGCCAATGGTGCCTGAAAGGTAAAATGAGTTCTACACCTCACACGCCGATGGGGAGATAACTGTTACATCGCCTCTTATTCCTACTTTGAAGTCCGACCATTCTTTCACGTTGCCTTTCCCACCGTGGCATGATTTGGACAGTTTGTTAATCTCACTTGACGAGACGACCCTGTTCCATATGTTGAGCTCTGTTAGTTCCCCAATGTAGTTTTGATTGGCGCTAAAGCCACTGCCGAATGCATCTTGCTCTTGTCCAATGATAAGGATTCCGTTAGTCTTAATGTTGTAACCAGTCTTAAATCCAGATCCACTGGCTTGCACGGCGCCATCTTTGTAGACTTTCCATGAACCAGCTTTGTTCTCCCATGTCGTGCATACGTGATGCCAGTTGCCATCATTTACAGCAACACCAGTGCGCCTGAGGAAATATAAAAAATATTTGTCTTCTTGATTACTGACTTAACTATGGCTACCTTTGCTTTTAAGCTTAATAAACTCCAGTTGAGACAATGGATTTACTGAACCTGTCCAATCTGAAAATCGTCGCCCAGTTTCATCGAGAAGAACAAACCAATATTCAACTCAGGCCTTTGCTTTTTAAAACTGGTCACTTAATTGCAATGCAATAAAAGAGATGCGCGGAAGAAAGGACTCTTGAACACCAGTTCTTTTTCATATTTACCACCACAAAACGTATTCGTTATTCAAATAAATCACTGGGAACAAAAAGGACCTCTTTCTTGCATAACATCCCCCTTTTTTCGTTTTCACTTTCTTACGAACTCCATATACACACATACATACATACACACGCACACATACATACGCACACACACACACACACAGGCACACACACAAACAGACAAACGGACAGACACAGAGACACACAGACAGACAGACAGATATACACACAGACAGACACACGGACAGACACACAGACAGACAGTCAAACAAATATACACACATACATACATACTACATACATACATACATACATACATACATACAACATACATGTTACTTTCATACCATAATAGTTCGTTTGTTTATATTTAGCCGTGATTCCTATCTTGTTCTCGATGATTATCTACTTCTTGCGCAACTGTACATACTTGCGTGACAGGTTTAGCGATCGGATTTCATTGTGTAAGGGACGTAGTTCTTTGAGAGGTTTATTGTTGCAACGCTACTTGTTCACTAAACGCTACTTTCCTTTTCACCGCCACATATCAGCTACCTATTACCGCTAGGAGCCAGACTAAAGTAAGCCATTTTATTTACTTGATATTTATAGTTAGCTTCATTATCTTAATTGGCATGATTATCTTAAGCGCTTGTGTAGTTTCGCGATTCTATGCCACGTGCGTCTAGGTTAAGTAGTCCATCCACAGGCGTTGGCTTATTTAGGTTCCTTTCTTTGCTTTCTAGTTCGAACCACAACAAATCCCACTGCAACAAGACCTTATCGCCACGCAAAGCTATACATCGAATCATCTATCCATCATTCTACAAGCCGCTGCCCTTTTACGCTATTTCAATTAAAGTTTACGATGTGCGTTACAATTGTCTGGTCTCCAAATTCGTCGCTTACGACTCTCGCTACACATGTGACCTTTCGGGGTTACAATACATACATACCTACTTACATACATACTGTGATTACATCGGATATACTCAACAAACGCTCGCCGTTGCGCCATTGACTTTATTCTCTATGTCCATGTAAAGCAAAAGGTCAACTTAAAATAGGATATTGAAAAGTGAAAAAAAATGAATTTACGTACTAACATTTGTGGCTCTAGTTCTCAAGAGGATATCCAAACACGTGCGTTCACTAACTCGACTAATTGTTAACAAATCACATTACATCTACTGTGATACGATACAGATTTTGACGTCACGGTAGCACATACATACATACATACATACATACATACATACATACATACATACATACATACATACAAAGATACATACATACATACATAGATCTATATGTAGGTATGATATGACTTCCCCATAAGGTTTTTTAAAGCTCCTATCATAGCTCCAACTGTAAATAGATGACAAAGCTTTTTTTTTGGATATCGGTACCAGATCGGAATTAGGCGTGTAATGATTATAGCGCATCTCTCTTTCAAGTTGTTTAAGTATTTACCAATCTCTTACCCAAGTCTTCGGTCCCTTGTCTGGAGACCGAGAAACGCGTCCAGAATGAGAAACAAAGATCATTTACGAGATGAAAATACTAGATATCATTGAACGATAGTCCTTACGTCACTTGCTCGTTGATGAATAGTTGAATTTCCTGCATCTTGTTGATAAGAAGTTCATTGTGGTTCCCGGATAAACTGTAACTCACGACCGTTCGATCGTTTCCAGTCTTATCGGTCGTACGTACTCGGAAGCAGATCGTGAAAACGTTTTCTATCTGTAGGCCGTGGTGGATGACGTAGTCAGTTGTTACACGTTTTGTGAAGTAAAGGTCATATGAACTGGTACTCAATCCTGTAGAGGCAAATAAAACACGAGTATCAATTAATTACCTGAAATCGCTCACGATTTTGAAGATCTTAAAAACTGAATTGACTATGTGTTTTTTGTCGAACAACCAAGCTCCGTTTTACGGATCCGGAATTTTCCTAACAAAATTTTAGAGTGTAGCCTTTAGTCTTTGACACAAGATCCAAATAACTGGAAACTGCACAACATAAGTGGGGAGGTGAGTATATTCTTCGTACAATTCCCCACTCACCCCTCCCCTCCGCCTTGTTCCCTTATAACCTTGCAGCTTTCCTTTTGGAATGAGGTCCTTTCCTGTTTCAGATTAGCCCCATTGCACTTGCGTTAAATATTAGGAAAGATGAAAGGAAACGTGTGCTACGTGACAGACAAGATTACGACGTTTCTCCAGCGTTCATCACCAACCAGGTGCTGTGCGTTTATTAAATGCGCTAAAAATTACGGAAAATGGCAGAGGCCGTGTGAACTGTCATTGCTTTGACGAATTTCTGCTTGCTACAAAAATACTCAGGAAATCTCAACCGACCTCTGACCTGTTTATCAATGGTTATCGTGGTCCCCTTGCACGAAATTCCGCTATAAGGACATAATTACAAAAATATGTCCATTGTAGCTTAGAACATAATCGCAAACAAATGTCAACTTTAGCTTAGACTTGAAAACAACAAAACAGAAAGAAATAGTAAAGCCTTTGCCTTACACAATCATCAGCTGAGTGCTCACTTTGTCTTACTTTGTACTCAGTTCGCTTAGAACAGACGTTGCAGCAATCAGTTTGAAGTTATGCAGGCCTAAAGCTGCAGTTAAAAATGATCAGAAGAAAGCTGCAACTGAATAACAGAATGCCTGAACTGACTGTTCATAGAGGCTAAATTTGCAAAAGTGGACGTTTTGTCAAATGTTCACTTACCCGGCTGAATCTGACTGATGCGATTCTTTACTGTTTCTAGTTCTTCCTTCAAGCTGATTATTTCTTGTTGCAGTTTTTTGTTTTCTGAGCACAAATCGCACTGGCTGCCATCCACAGCCACGTTTACTACTGGACGGCAGTGGCAAACCGACGGAGACAAGTTGTTGGAACTGTTTGCGTCTCCAAACAAGACAAACGCAGAAACGAGAACCAGAAAGAAGAAACCTCTTGCCATGATCCTAATGAAGCAGTACACGATATGTGACTTCTTTCAAGCTCGAATGAGTTTAATACTTTCCGGTCAGAGATAGACATGTCAAATTGAGACTACTATACCAACAGCCAATCAAATTGTTATTTGTTATCTATATCCTGGTTTACGTACATGTGACAGGCAACTCATTCCGGCTGTCAAGCAGCGATTGTCACAAGCTAAGTTAAAAACAAATGCCGATCATTCGTCTTGTAACCATTAGTAAGAAAAGATGCCTAATGCGCTTCTTTTCCACCAGAGGTACATTTTTTTCGAGAAAATTAAAAATAACAGACCTAATTTCATTGGAGAGGGGGCCAGAATATCAAAATCTGTTCTACCTTAGCTTGCATCATCATGTCAAACAAGATTTGTGGCAAAGCGGATACCAGCTACTTATGCAACAAGATGTTGGGTGATTAGACACGTGCAGGAATGAAAGAAGAACAAATGTGTAACGAGACCTTTCTGAGAAGATTTACCATCTCCGTAGTTCCCGCGCTTCTCTCCGGCTAAGGTGTTTTATTTTGTGTTCTCGTTGGCTGCATGTCTGGTTTTGCCTGTTTTGATGGGTTCTTGTGCACGTGATTAATGCCATCTGTGACATAGGCCTTGGCGTTTTAAAGGCCGATCAGGGTTATCGTAAATCATCTTTGAACCACCCGGCTCTAAGGAGTGAAAATTGATCATCTTTCTAATTACATAAACCGCACACGCATGCGACTTTGGTTCTTGATCGTCGATGCCCTTCAGGGTGTAATTAAAGGGTTTTATTTCATCCGCGCTGAGATTTAAACTTTCTCATTCGCTGCGCTCACTCGTTGGTTTTTTCTTTTGATGCATTGCAACTCGTTAACAAAAATCGTTCGTGCATGCTTTCCAAGGAATAATTTCTATAAATACTTATTTCCTGGGAACGAATTTCTTAAAGAGAGTCATTATGAACTGGAATAAAATAGAGGGAAATGTTCAGCAAGCAATCGTGGACGATAATCCTACTCTTGTACGTTGGATCCGCAGTGATCTAATCGGCACACAGTGCTCCATCTTAAAACTTATCGACGTTGTATTGGTCTTGCCTCGTGCTAGATGTAGGTTTTGCATGTGCCGGGGAGCGGACACGCAAGCTCTTTCTACCTGGACTTTTTCCTGTCGGTGTTGAGAACTTTCATTTCGACGAAACATCACGGGAATCCGGACATTGAGAAGCGGCCTTATTCAACAATTCATAAAACTGGCAAAAACTGTTAGCTTTTCTTGCACAAGGAAGGCATATAATTTGAGATATGTGCGACTTATTTTCGAAGTGAAAACCGACCGTTCGAAGGCGATCAACGAAGACACACTGAAATTCTTCCCTTTGACTTTGATAAAAAAAATGTTTACAAAACTCTTGAAGCCACTTCCAAATTAAATTCTTAAATCTATTGCTCAAAACCGGCAAACAACGTCTTCTGGATTAACTTTTGGCTTTCTCCCTCTCTTAGAGTTTGATACCAGATTCTCCTTGTCGTCTGACATTTCTCACTCACGTGGAGCAAGTTTTAGTTGTTGGTTTGACAGTTTGCATGGCTCACTGAGCTCTCGCTAACGGCGCTTTCTGATTGGTTAATTTTAAGAGGCGCTGATTGACATATGCAAGACGATATGAATATGAAAATAGGGGGCGTTTCGTTAGTTAGTGCGGGTCTTTGGCAAGCCCTCCCTCTCCCCTCCGTACTTTCTGCTCCCTCCAATCCCCCCTCCTTTTCCCCAGTGCTTGCTTCACAGGCTACCTTTCACAGTTACTTTGTTCTCATGGCTAAAGACTGCAGGCTTTATTTCCTAAGAGTGCACGGATATTTTTTTGCTCATCATTGTTCTCCAAATAGAAGTCTCCCCTGTAGGTACGTGGGCTTGTTTGTCTTCAACGAAGATTGTGCTTCGTCTGGTCGAGGTGTGACTAATTTTTATTAAGTCGCAGTCTATATTCAAAATGCAGTGCAATGTGCTTGTTTGAATGGGAACGATTATTTTGTGAATCGGCGAGGAGTAATCATCTTTATTAACGCTCTCTCGTGGACGAGCATGCCAAGTACTTTTTCATCGGGTTTCTTCGGGATGCAATCGTTATGATCTCGTGAGTTTGGTCGATGACTCGGCGTACGTTGACTTTGCTGCTCACTCATGGGCGGGACTGAGAATTGGGTAGGCCGTCGGGTTTCTTCGGAATGTAATCGTGACGATTTCGTGAGTTTCATCGATATAAAGGACTATATCGCGAGTCGGCGTGCTTTGACCTCGCTGCTCACTTGTGGTCGTGCTTGAGGATCGGGTTCGCCGTCGGGTTTTTTCGGGATGCTATTGTAATAATATATTGAAATGTGGGTACGGAGTCGGACTTCTATATTCGGAACGTAATCTGTCGTTTAGAAGCGGTAGGTATGTTCCCATTTTACTGACGACTTTGATCAGACGGTGTCGGCACATCTTTGAAAGAGTAAACTTAATTCTTCATTGCTCTTCGCTCGACGTCTATGGAGAAGCTTGTGGCAGTTCGGATGCGCTCGTTCTCCGCCGTACTCTTTGTTCTCGGTAAGAAAATGAGTCCCTTTCAACTTGACTCACTTTAGGTTAGCCGGAAAGATTTTGAGATTAATTAAGTGTTTGTAATTCTTGAAAGATTGTGGCAAACTGTTTTTATTTGTTATTTCTAACACCTAAACTTCAATTTCACTGCATGACTGAGCGAATCTGTAAAATCACGACAGGAGCTGGTCATTATGCTTTAAAAAAAATGCTCTTTTATGAAGCACTGTCTATACGCTATCTTAAGTATTCCTTATTAATGCTAACTCATTCCAGAGAAGAGATATTTCTTCCTGTTGACTGCTTGTTTAGGCTAAAAATATTGCGACTTCATACCATAAGCGGTAAAAAACGAGTTTGGAATTTATCGAGTCTTGCCAAATTTTGCCTCTTGAAATGTATCCAAACTTATTTACATGAATTATCCATAAATCTGCGTTTTGCATATAGTTATGTTTTTTCAGTTTCTAATAAATTTCAAAGAAAGCAGAGAAGCATGAAGGTTTGCTAACAATGGAAATAACGATATCAATCTACAGACGGAATATATTGAATATTAGAGAAGTCGGGGCTCGAAGTGAGAAAAAAAATGATGATAAGCGAAAACGCTTCTGTTGTGTCGTGACTCGTAAGTTTCAGAGCTTAGCTCTAAATTTTGGCGAATGGCAGTCTAAAGGATTGCTTTGGACTCAGCTTTTTAAAACAGTCTCAAAATAAATTACAAGTCTTTTTTGCGTAAATGAAATTGGCGGGAGTCCAAAATTTGAAGAGGACAAAGTTATAATTGTTTTCGAAGGAGCGGTGATAGATAGATAGATAGATAGATAGATAGATAGATAGATAGATAGATAGATAGAAACTTTATTAACGTGTCAAAGAACCTTCTAGTTTGGGAGATATCCCATACTAATGTGGGGACACAAATAAAATGGATAAAAATTATTTGCCTACTTAAGATTTATATACGGACTCGCTTCGAGATGTATTTATGATTTCAACACTGATAAACTCTCCATAATGAAAGCCTTGCAGATAGCCCTAAAAATCTAGACCCCATTTATTTTTTCTTGCTTGTAAATAGTTGCAAAATTGATAAGTACTTTGAATTCTTAAAACTGACTGTAAGGAAAGAAGAAGCTGAACGGTCAGCTTAGCTTTCTAAATAAATTGATACATTTCGAGTCTGGCTTCAAATATACTTTAGTTTGTAGATTGAACTGGGCGACGAAAATTTTGTGATGGCAGATAAGTGAGAAAGATTCGAGAGAAATCCTTTTTTGAATGTAAAGAGAAAGTGGTTTGTGGGTTCACACAGAATTATGGTGGTTTGAAATCCACACTGCTATAATTAATCAGCTGTCTGCTGTGGTCGGGCACTAGTTCAACCAGAATTAAACATTGAAACAAATTAATCAAAGCAAACGAAGAGCTTTCATTTACTCGCAATATGAAACGCAGTTCTAAATTTGTTTTAGAAAAGGTTGTTCAGTTATTGATCTACGGAGATAAAATATATAGCAGCAAAATTTTGTGCCATTACAATATCAATAATTATTGGATCGGCAAGGGTTTCCTCGTATTGTTAATTAATAATGCCGGCGATTGACGCAAGTAAGAAACCTACTGAGATCAAGGGTTGTCAAATGATTCCCGCGAACGAACTGCTCTGTTATGGTTTCAATTTTTTTTTTTCTCTCAACTGAAGCTGACGTGCAGTGAAAATGTTTCGTCTTGGCCACTCAATTTGATTTCTTATTTTATGAATTAAAACCTATTTCCTATATTTTCTACTTTAGGCGACTAAGCGAAGCTGATATTTAGAAAGTGCGGGTACCTTTCAGTCAGTTTCAGTCAGTCAGTTTCATAAAATGAACAGAATTTTTATAACTGTACATTTTCCCTTAAACCCGTTCATGGTATATGAAGCCACTTAAAGGATTCACTTTCTACAGGTTTGGGTTCACCAAAGGGCTTCATTTTAGATTTCACCCATCATTGGTTAGGTTTTCCTTAAATACCTGTAATCAATATATAACCAAGCGGTTGACGTTATAGGGACCTTAAGCGGTCACCATGGCAACGCCAAGGAAGACGTCGATTAAAAATAAATTTCTACATCCAATCAGAATTTCAAAAATGGCTGCATGCATGTGTTTACCATCTCATACGGCGCCACAACTCAACCTCAACATAACGTATGAGAGTAGCGTGGAGTTCCAAATGGAAATTAAAATAATTTGTCGGGGCGGTTTCGGTTCGCAGACGACGCAAATTTTTTCTGATTTCAGGCTGTTATTTTGCAAAGGACGGCTAAGTAAGGTGTCAAGTTTTAAAATGCATGTACTGGGCTATTGTTCTACCAATTAGATCTTTCTGCTTTTCCACGTTCCGTCGCCGTCGTGGTTTGCTTGAGGTCCCTATTGCCTTTGACGCAGGCTGAGTGGCTGGTTTAGAAATGATAAGCAGGTAATACTTCACCATTCACCACTGAGCTGCTGAGTAGATGAAATTGTGCTTGAACGATGACAAATTCGTTCATTTTTCGGAATATTGACAAAAATTAAAATGTTTTGGTTCTTGAATGATCAAAATTAATCCAGTATCATTTAAAGAGATAAATATTTACCTCGACTTTGGTAATTAATTCTAAAAATCAGTTGTTAAGTTAAGTCGTTGTCGGCCTGATACCGGATATCTACTAGATGTTTTTCTAACTTGTATTGTTTGATTTAGTTCTCATGTGTGGAAGCGAGGCTTCTCTGTCCAGCTCATACGTTGGCGACTGTAGATATCTGGAGCTGTTTTGTGACATGCGCAAATGCATCACGCTTTTTATTAAAGCGCTGCAAAACGATCCTGAGGGAGATTGTGGGTAAGTTACAGCCTGTTTCATCTGCATCGTCGTATCTTTAATTTTTAGTTGCCTTTACCCGTTATGCGCTGAAAATGAGCTGTAATTTAAGGATTGCGAAACTGAATTTGTTCTTACTTCCGATGTGGATTAGAGGGAGAAAAATTTGCCACTGTTATAACTCGACCTTTTTTTCAATTAATAAGATATCATGTTACCAAGAGTTTAATCCCACGGTCGACTCCTGGTTCTTAGCGCAGACATTTTACGGTCACAATGTCTCTCACCCTTAATTCCCCCGGGTATAAATAAGTAACGGCAAACAGCTGGAAACCTGACAAAATGCTGAGGAGGGAGGGGGTGGGGGAGCGACCAAGAGAGAGGACCATTCTCCTGATCACCTCGGGCTGTAATCCTGGATAAGCACCGGCAAAGTTTTATTCGGGATTCATCCCGGGGATTATTTCTGGGGTTATCCCCGGGATGATCCATTATAATGCAACATCCCATTTAGTAGGGTGTTAATAGATTGATGGCTTTAAACGACAAACTGTTTAAATTTTGCCATTTTAAGGCTTACTGTTACTCTCTGCTGCTGAGAACTTTTAAAGCTCTGGAAAGATTGGTGTTCTTGCTTCTGAGCTGTTCCAATAAATTTAGCTTTCTTCTGATTTCCATTGCAGGGTCAAGGTGAACCAAACAATCAGCTGTGTGAGAAGGGCGTACATGATCTGCCTTGGAACCCATCATGCAAATCACTTTGAGGATGTTCGAATACAATTCACAGAATATTCCATGTGCCATGAAGGGTCATTAGGATTACCCACCCCACACTCGTTGGAAGTTTTGGTCTCTCATTGCTCCGAATCGTTCAACTCTAATTTAAATACTTGTACAAAGTCCTTTCAAGAGACTTTTTCCAGAGACAAGGCTGACCCAGATCTTTGCGAGTAAGTTATTATAGTTTACCGATTTCTTTTTTATTCCGCACTCTAAAGAGGCCCTCAATAGGCTATACAGTAAACACCCGAAAATAAGAACCTAGTGCATTAAGAACCTCTTGTTAGAAATTTGCCACTTTAATACCCCTTCAAAATAAGAACCTGTTTAGCCAAACATGATCAAGCAGGTTCTTATAATATGGGTTACAGCTCAATTACAGGATAAACAAACCACAAGTTACTGACAGAATTTATTGGTGTGTGTAAAAGAAATAGAAGATAATTTACACAAAATGCCCAATATAATAAAGTAGTGCAAATACTATATATGCTATAGAAATAGCATCATTTAGTGTTATTTACTTGTTACAGTAGCTGAAAGTTACAGTTATAAAGTATTATATGTAATTTTAGCCCGTATAAAGCTTATTTATTGTTCTTATGATATATATGCAAAACAATGACAACTGTATCCCCCTCTTAACAATTAAGAACCTGTTTTGCCAAAGTTACCAACAACTGCCCCTTTAAACAAGAACCTTTTTAGCCAGACTGCCAAAAAATAAGGTTCTTATTTTCGGGTGTTTCCTGTAGTCCTGGCACGTTAGGCTGCATTCACACTTGGTGCTCGAGCACAGTGCCCGAGTACGATTCTTGGTGGGCATTAACGTGAGCACACCTTTTTTTTCAAGAACCCAAGCCAGAAATCGAGCACCTTGCCCTTAGCCGAGCATAAGGTCTTGACCTTGTATTCGCGCACCGAGCCGGGCACTGAGATATCGGGTACCCAGAGTCTGAGCACAGCACTATTTTGTACTGGTGCCCTGGCACTAATGCTCGGCCACCAAATGCGAACGCAGCCTTAGTGTGTCAGTCACATTATCAAACAATTACTATAAGCCCGAGATTTGAATCACGTCGTATTTAAGAGGAGTGAAGCCTGAATCTATGCAATCAGGAGTGGCCCCTTAGAAGCATCTTTCAAAAGTAAGTTTTTTTTGGTAATTTTAGGTGCCCTCTGATCTCCGCCCGGGGAGTTAGTAGTTTTTATATAGTTTTTTTTTTTACGAACTAAGTGGTCTAGGTAAGTGAAGCGCTGACGAAGACAGCAATATTGATATCGGTGCTACAAAGTTTTATTGATATTATTATTATTATTATTATTATTATTATAATAATTACCATCGTCATTATTATTATTATTATTATTATTATTATTATTATCACGTACAGAAAGCAGATAATCCCATTGTTTTAGCATAAATCCACCAGTCGCCCAAACTAAACAAGAAAACAACAATACAGGCTCATGTTTTTATTTTATTTTACCTAACGTTCCATCGAATTTCAACAGGGAACATGCTAACGCCACTGAGTGTCTGAGAAAGCTCTATGCTTCGACATGTACCGGGTTAGTAGCAATTTACCAAGAATTATTTAATTTGACTTTCATCGAAAACAATTATAACCCCTACTGCGTCGACAACCGTGACCCTGGAGCTTCCAAGATTGCGGATCAGTGCACTGGAGTGCGTGACCTAGACAACCCCTCGACAAAGTTTTTGAAGAACAACTCGACAGAAAACATCAGAAACAACTCCAAGAACGTACACAATATCACCGGCAATGCTATCAATACTCCCTCAGATGACACTCTTAAAGAATCCGCGAGTAAATCACCGAAGCATACGAACGCAGCCACCGACACTCGAATCAATACATTTCAGGTGATCCTATTTACTTATGTGGTTCTGCTGTTGTCTTTTGAGTTTTAAGTATACTTGTTGACACATTCGGAAGAACATGCAGGCCCACTCCCCACAAACAGAGTTTGATGGTTGATTGTGGTTTTCCGAAGGATTAGACAAAATTATATTCGTAACACTTTCCAACGGAAGTAAGAGGTAAGATTGCCGGAAGTCGTGACGCGTAAGGTAGCGAAAGGGAGGATACTAATGTTGTCCTTACTCTAGCAGAACATATCACGTTTGTTACACGTGATCTTTGTGTCCCACCTGGCTCACCAATGAATTCTCTGGGCCGGGCTCAATTAGCAGAGCAGCCAAACGAGGAATTGGAAGATCTGTTGATCGAATCTTAACAGAGGACCAACAACTTTCTTTTCTGCACGCTCATGACAAATCAGCTTCTTTTCTCACGCTTCGATTAGTTGTTCTTCGACAAGTTTTATCCATCAACTAACTCGTACACTCACTAACTTATTTATAGGACAATGCTAACTTACATTCGCTTATAATTAACGACTATATTATCTTCTCGATGTAACATCACGAGAGAACTGGCGCCGAGTAGTGAAGGAAATACAGAGAGGGGAATGGACGCAACTGCCTCTCCCTACTCATGAGGCGCTGTGTGCTTCGCAGTTACTTCACTTGTGATTAGACAAGTTTTTTCAAGTCAACTTAATGCAAGGCTTTATATAGGGGGCCGTGACTTACGCAACGATGTATATAATGTAAATTAGACTGAGCAGCTTTGAAGAAAGCTTATGAACTATTTCCTCATTCGGCAAAAAAGTCTCCATGTTTTCGGAATCGGTACTCACAACTCACAGTTTGTAGAACTTACTTATAGCTTAAAGCCATTCAAATTAATTAGCTGACGCCTTTATAAAGAGTGCTTGTAATTAAAACCCTACCGATTTACGATTCTTAGAAGAAAATAAACACATCTTGTCGCGCAACTGCGCATCTTTCTCAGCTCAATTTTCATTCTCACAGGTTCTTGGGAATGAGCGAGCTTAAGTGAAATATTAGAATCTAGAAATCGTGCCTTTTTTATATAAATAAGTAGGGGTGCTAATTTAGCCTTGGATGGTGGAGGGTTAAGACAGACACATCAAACGCAAGCGCAATGAAGCTATGGCTCATCAGTGTGTCCCACGCGGACAGAAGGAGTTTTATGTGGCACAGGATTAGGGTTGGCCACTATGGCTACCGACAGAAGAATATTTTACATTGCTAGATGTTTTATCAAATTTCGTTTAAGGCCTTAAAACGTATTAGTTTATACAGAGCCTCGTATACAGCTTCAAATTGTTTAGCTTTTTTAATTCCATTGTTGATTTTGTGAATTTTCACGTAAGAGACTTTCTTTGAGATGTATACTCAGTTCTTACTCGTCCGACAAACTTTTATAGGAATGAATTAAACTTGTCAGGGTGGAGGCAGTGGAGGGGAATATTGGTTCTCTTATCCTCCACTACTCTCACGCATTTGCATAAGCTCAAATTAAGGACACTCAGAGTACGAAAGAGTGCGAGCAGTTCATTCCTTTCGGCGAAGTCCATCGCGCGTGTATAAAAACATCTGTGAAAAAAAAATTGATCCGCGCGGAATGCTAACATCATTATTTTTTAACTGATTTTTCTTTGACTCTCGCGACGCACTTTGCCGAAGAGTAAGGACTGGTCAAAGTCTAATAATAACAAGAAAAAAAAAAAAACCAAGAATAAAACGTGAAAACACATGTAATGTTGCTTGGGGCAAGGCAATTAGAGGGTAATCATTTGTAGACGTTCTTAAAATGAAATGCATTTTTCGGATTTTTGTCGACAAATAAGTAGATAGATTCGAATCATTCATCCAGATTTAATGCACTATCCAAATTGCTTGATCCATTCCAACACAGCTTCTCTGAGCTTGAAGTTAAAAGTGAAAATCAATCTGGAAAAATTGCTCACTTTAATGGGATTTCCGCTTTATATTTCTCCCAATATCCGTATCATTGTCACTAAAAAGGTTTATTTAACCTACCTTCTTGTTATTCTTGTCAACAATAACGCCCCGCGAAAGTCTGATTGTAAAAGCTTCTGATTTTTCAAGAACCCACTTGCAAAGGTCAGTAGACCGTGCACATGATATTGTGTTTGAAAGTTGTATGCCGATATCTTTGCTGCTCAAGAAACAAACAGTCAAATTGCTTTTAAGAACAATTTCAGGTCGTTATGCATCATGTGCAAAAAGCGAAGTACTAATCGGGAAAAAAATGAAGAGGAAGTAGGAAAATTTGCTTCTTAAAGTTAGGATGGTTTCTGCAATGCAAAAGCTTACCACTTAACCTTGAAAACAATTTTGCATACCACAACAGAAACTAGATCTGATAACAACAAGACTTTGAACGAGGCAAGGGGGGAGGCTTAAGGCCCGTACAGGGGGAGGCTAAGGCAGTCCTGTTTGACAACTTATTTAACGCCACTGATTTCACGAAACGATTTGGTTTGTCAACTTAAAAGTTTTATAAGTTGGGCACATCTAGGTAAGAGTATTAACTTCAAGACTTTTTAATTGAGCGCAGCATGCCTCGGGCGTTTTGTCTGTGTCACGCCCTGCTGCCATGCGAGTTCTCCGATTAGTCATCCATGGCGGCTTTTAAAGTTTTTGCAGAGGAAATAATTACTAGCTGTTTAGATTTTTCTTTTTCGGGAACCGTAGTACCAGAGCACCATTTGTTTTTTTTGCTCTGACTCCCCTCCCTGAGAAATTGTTGCACTGATTTTCATCTCCCCCCGGGGCATATATCAAAGACGTGATTGTTGCAATTAATTCTGGTTCATGCGAAACTAAATTCTGAAGTATTGAAACTAGCACGGCGAGTTGATGAAATGCAAGGTAATTTTTGGGTCGAAAACTGCAACAATCCAGTTTTGAACAAAGGATACTAAGCGGTTCACTTGGCTGATATTCTGAGTGCAGCATAGCTCGAAGCATATTATGCCAAACCGGTGGGAAAGATGTATTTCAACAGCATCTGGGGATTATTGTGAACAAATCGAACATCTGCACCATAAGTGACGTTTTTCTGAGATACTGCAGAAGACAATAGTTTAGGGTGTCAGATCAAAACTTGAGGGTTGTGGAAGAAATTCTGCAGCTTCGCTACGGTCATTTGTAATCGAGTCTTTGATTGTGCACTTGTTTCAAGCTCCCACTTGGCTTGTCAGGCGCAAAAATATAGTAAACCATCGAACCATGGAAGAAAACTCAAGTTTAACCGAACAAGCACAAACCAGTGCAGCAAGTGGATTTATAAATGGATTGACATTTTCCGTGAACTCGACAACGGACGTTTTGTTCGGCGAATCACCAGAATTCAAAACTTCCAAGTTATTTTTGTATTTCGTTATTTTAGCGTTCAGTTCACTTGGCAATGGACTTGTGTTTTGTTTAATTTCTTGCAATCGTCGGCTTCGGCGAGCTTCGTCGAACAGGTTGTTGTTAAATCTGAGCGCATGTGATTTTCTTACGTCACTACTAAGCATCCCTTTCGATTTCGCTTTGGAGGAACGGGGCTACGTGTGGCCTTATGGATCGATAATGTGTCGAATGTTGTGGCCTGCATCAACATTTACGGCTACAGCTTCTGCTTTGACCTTAGCTGGCATTTCCTTAGACAGGTTAGTATAGAAATAGTTTTAAAATACGCCATGATTTGCATACTTATTAATTAGATACAATGAAATATATGAAGTTCATATATTTTGTTCGCGGTATTAGATACATATGATGCACGATCCTCGCAGTAGATAGCGCTATTTAAGCAATAGCGAAAATCAGACCTAAAAAAAATCAGGCCTGTACGGAACTCGAGCCACTGACCTCTGCGATACTAGTGCAGCGCTCTACCAATTGAGCTAACAAGCCAACCGGGAGCAGGCCGTTCAGTTGAAAAAATCAGGCCGCACAGGCCTGATTTTTTTCAGGTCTGATTTTCGCTATTGCTTAAATAGCGCTATCTACTGCGAGGATCGTGCATCATATGTATCTAATACCGCAGTACAAAATATATGAACCTCATATATTTCATTGTATCTCATTTATCACTTTCACGGGTTTATTACGAATCAACTTAACGGCCTGCTCCCGGTTGGCTTGTTAGCTCAATTGGTAGAGCGCTGCACTAGTATCGCAGAGGTCAGTGGTTCGAGTCCCGTACAGGCCTGATTTTTTTCAGGTCTGATTTTCGCTATTGCTTAAATAGCGCTATCTACTGCGAGGATCGTGCATCATATATACTTATTAATGTGACGAAAATTGTTTTCGCAAAAAGATAAAGTGTAGCAATTCTAAATATTTGGAGTTTGGTCTTTTGAAGGTGAAAAGCTAAATGAAAGCCACAGATTTATCATTGAATTTACTTAAAAATTCAATTACTGTCAATTAATTAACCGAAAATTCATCTGAGAAAGTGTAGTGTAATCGTCTGGGTAGAAAAATTTATTACTCAAACCAAACCAGTAACAAAGGAAGACACATTTTTTTGTTTTTTTTTTTCGGGTCTTTTTTACTTGTTATTTGAGATGTGTTTTTCAACGCAGTCTGTCTGGCAGGGTCAGATAAATAATCCTCACACTTTTGAGCATTCTGCTTTTGAGCGTCATCTCTGAAAACATGGCATTATGCCGAAAATTTAGCGAGGATTTTTCCTAAAGCTCAATGTAACAATTCAGAATAAAAGCTTTTAGGAGGGTCTCAATCTTCCCTTTCCATCAACTGATAGAACTTGCTATGAAATGAAAGGCTCAATGAAGTTCAGAACACAACATTTTGCCAGATCATTCCTAAAGTAAAAGTAAGAAAAGCAGGCTAATTGTTGACACTACTCGGGCAACATGATTTTTCTCTTATCGACTGTAATATTGAGGGAGCTTGAAGAAATTAGTAGTTATGCTAGTATTCTTCTCGATACTCTGGATATAAATGGCATCATACCCAAAATTATAAAAATATAAAGCTCGCGAGTGAAAAGACATGTGTTATTGACCAAGCTTGTTCGATCAAGATGGCTGGATATTGGCCAAATTTATTTTGTTTTTTTTTCTTTTTTTGGCGTTTTTATGGACTTTGACTTCCTCTCGGTCCATAAAGACGCAAAAATAGAACGGTGCTAATACCCAGCCATTTTGACTGAACAAGATTGGTCTGTAAACGATTTACTTTGTAGCAAAAAGATTTCGCTATATATATAAGAATTAATTTTGAGATCAGAGTAAGAAAGCCAACTGTAATTGCAGCAAAATGACCTACGAGAGTCGTTTATATTTCCTTTGTTTTGACTGTCCTCTACCACTTTTAATGACTCCATCGCCAACATTGTCCAAAATTTACGAACTTGGTAAGTCCGCTCCACGAAATTTTTTTTCTGCCGCTATTGATGGGCCCATCCTGGCCGCTCAGGTAGCTACTCAGAGCACAGGATTCACTTCACATTGCCCACGAGCGTTGCCAGCTATATAATAAAGTGAATTGGTGTATATTGAAGATGTAAATGACTCTGAAGCTTCTAAGAGTCTTATTGGAAATGTTACCCAAAGTTTTGTGTAAGCATTTTTGTTTTTATTTATTACACTCCCACAGTAATATTATAAGTTATGATAATTGTAATTATACCAAGAAATGTGTTTGCTTTTCAGATTTCGCCTTCTGATGCACCCTTTTACGCCGCGTCTTACGAAAAGACAGATAAAAGTTCTCATCTCAGGCATACATATGTTGTCAGCGGTTGTTGTCGTACCATATATCATTTTCTTAAAACTTGAAGACCACAATTGTGTGGAAATATGGCCAAACTTCACCTCCAGACAAGTCTATACAGTAGTTTTGTTCCTGGTACAGTACGCGCTGCCTCTCAGCTTTATGACAACTGTATACACATTGGCGTTGACGAAATTATACAAAGTGACCAGTAACACGACTAAGATGCGCATGCGCTCTAGGGAAAAACTACGCCAAGATGGCGCGAGCAACAACAACGCTGAGCGAGGGAGAGGGGTGGTTCGGAAACTAAGCTCCCGCGTGGCTTACAGCATGAGGCGCGGTTTCGAGGTGGAGTCGAACGTGAGGGTGACAAAATTGTTCATTGCCATTGTTGCAATTTTCGCCGTCTTCATGCTGCCCAATCAGGTACTATGGTTGTGGTCAGATTTTGGTGGTGGAAACAAACATCAGGATTTGAACACGATAAAGATTATCTGTTGGCTTTTTACGTATACTAATTGTGTCTGCAATCCTGTCATTTTTATGATATTCTGTAAAGAGTTCCGAGCAGAGTTGGCAAAGATTGCTAAGAAATTGTGTCCGAACGGGCCCAGGCCCCAGCTCAGCATATCACGGTCGAGTGGGCCTCCTACCCAGTGTATCCCTATGATAGAATGCGTTTCTTCCCCCAACAATTACCAGTCGCTAGACGATAAATGAATTGACGAAAAATGCCATGACAGACGATGTTAAGCAGTTCGACTTAAAGTAGTTCTTTCAGTAAATTGTCAGATTTTAGAGATTTCAACACTGAAGCTTTAGACTTCCCCAGTATATGAGGACTCATAGCGAAATTGAATTAGTCTGACAAGCTGTTGACAAAACGAAAATTTCTTACCTGGGTTCGGAAACAAGAGAAAGAAATTTGACCTCAATGAACAACAGCTTTTTCAACCATCATAACCAATTATCTACAACGAGCCGACAAAATGCAAGAAAAATACATGAAATTGCACGAATTTGATGCCCGTACTTAAGCGGAAGCAAAATTTTGGTACCGGAAAATAACTGCTCTCATAAACCGCTGATGTGATTGATTAAAAATGTCTTTGATGCTATGCAGAGTCAGCCTGGTCAATGTTAATTAGTTTCAACAAAGGAATTTCGGTCATGCGGATAAGATCAGTCGTGGTCATATAACTTGATTTTTGGTGTTAAATACTAGATTATTCTATCTACGGCGCAGCAGCGCTCTCTGATGGAAAGTTTAGAAAAGCCTTGTGAAAAAGAGTTTGAAGGTGTGTATAGGCAAAGAATTTACGAAGTATTCTATACGTCTGTTTGTCACACGATCACGGTTTTATTTTACTTTAGCAGAAGGATCCTGAAAACGTAACAAGCTGAGTATGCAAAAGAATATCATTGTTAAAGAGGATGTGCTGCCCGATGTAGCGAACCGGTCCGTGCTGGGTGAAAACCCATCTATGGATGACATCTTCGGTGAATCATTGGAATTCAAAACAAGCAAGTTGTTTTTATACTTCGCAATTTTGATCTTTAGCTCACTCGGTAATGGGCTCGTTTTTTGCTTGATCTCTTCCAATCGCAAGCTCCGTCAAGCTTCATCGAACAGGTTTTTGTTAAGTCTGAGCGCGTGCGATTTTCTGACACCATTGCTGAGCATCCCGTTTGATTTAGCTCTGGAGGAACGCGGATCTGAGTGGCCTTATGGAGCGATAATGTGTCGCGTTTTGTGGCCCTCGTCGACGCTAACTGCTACAGCTTCTGCTCTAACTCTAGCAGCCGTGTCTTTAGACAGGTAAGAACTTGTGTGGATCTTTTGAAGCCAAGAAACCGTTGTCTCATTTCTTTAATCGCGTTCCAGTTGCAAAAATAGCCCGCTCCCCAACACCCTCACGCGAGGGGCGGGAGGGATGAGGTCGTAAAGATCAAGCCCCACGAACTCTTTTCACGTTTTTCTCGTGCCTGCACTCGTGCATGTGAACCAAAAACGTTCTTACGTAATGCATTCCATCACGACATCACGAACCCGCCACGATGGTGGCTCGCCTTGCAACCACAATGACGGTAATCGGCTTTAATGCAAATATTGAGGCCTTACTTTGGTTGGGTAACCCTCTACCGCCTAATATTGGTCTACATATTCTCCATACCATATTCCGTACATTTCCTATGGTAGTGACTAGAAAAATTTTCTTAAAAAAATCATAATTCGCTTAAGCCGAGACAGAGGGTATTCTCAAATAGTTTATTTATCCCGCCCAACTTGTGCACAACTTGTGTTACAGTTTCATACTGGTTCTCTCTCGTGTTCTGTTTAAATTATGATGGAGTATTGAATGTTTAATCTATGCGCGTGCTTT